AAAAAAAAAAAAAAAAAAAAAAGAAAGAAATGAGCCAGCTGCTTGACATTGGGCAAGTTATCCTCTCTGAAACACAATTTCTACAAAGAAGAAATTGGACTGGGAGATCTCTAAGGTTCCTTGAAACTCTCAATTTGTTCCCTGTTCACATACTAGATGACTTAGGTGTGGCAGAGCTCTTGAGGGATCATCAGACGGAGTCCTAGGGTTCAGTCTGATTTCATCTACAGCAGGCAGGTGGGAATTCCTTTAGTTGACTGCGTTTTTCAGGATGTCCCACCTTTTTGAGTCTGAGGAGTAGACGATTCATAGGTTCTGTGAATGACATACTGTAGCAGGATAAATAGGATATCTAAAAAGTTCCTTCATTGGGTGCAAAGGTAAGGCACTCTCCTCTTGCATGGACAGTAGTTTTGTAACAGAGAATATTTTGGTCACACTTCACTTCAATTTCAAGCAGCCTTGGATTATATTCTGAACTGCTATGGATTCGTAATAGAGGGAACACTGTAATGCTTCTCAGATGTCTGATCTTTGTAAATGTGGCTACAAACAATGCATTATCCCCAATAACAGACTGCTCTAAATTACTTTCTCAGATTACATATTGTGCCCCCAAGACCTAAGGGTACACTGCCAGACCTTTGACCAAAGACCAACAAAATCCCCATCCTCTGACCAAACGCCAGCTTCAGTCACTGTACTTTGGCTGGGCTTCTCCCCCCTGCAGCGTCAGCTGGCCTGCACATTTCCTTTCCCCACTCAGCTCCTGCTGCCTGGTAATCACTGAATTGGCAGGACTGCCGACTCTGGTGAGTAATGGTCAGACAGGGGTAGTGCACTGGGCTAAGACTGACTGTATGGGAGAACATTGGTGGTCATGAGCTTCCCTAAACCTCCATCAACAGTCATATTATTTTCTCTGTGGACCGTGTGCCCTTGCACTTGAGGACCTAATGTACCCCGACTGGTTTCGACGATTTGCTTGACTCTGAAAGCCTCTGAGCTAACACTTTATTGTTTTGCTGAGGCAGGAATTGAACGCACACCCTGTGAGATTGGTATAAAGTTCAGAGTGAGTCTCTTTGCCAGTTAGTGTTAGTCAAACACCTAACAGCTGGGCATGGCTCCTTTTAGGCATCTAAGATTTGATCTCCATTAATTTTCCTGACAACCCAGTGAGATTCTTCTTACTATTATCCCAGTTTTATGTATGAGAGAATTATATATTCTAGTGCTAATCATACATTTAAAAATTCTTGGAGGTCTAAGAGTGTCTCCTTCCCCGAGAGGGAGGGGAGGTAAGGGCAAACTGTGGGTTAAGGGGCGAGTTCCTAGCACACACCATTGTATGGAGGCTCTGTTCTTCATTGATGGATGAATTTCTTCCCTTCATTCCCAGTCTCTATTTTTATTCCTTTCCTCCATGAATTCTTGTAAATAATGTAGTGTTTTGTATGTATGTGTTTTTAATTGACTTATGTGTCTAATTGCGCTTACATCTCATTTTCCTCCTTAATTTTTGAATTCAAGGGAATTCCCTAGTGGTCCAGTGGTTAGGACTCTGCGTTTCCACTGTAGGGGGCACGGGTTCAATTCCTGGTCAGGGAACTAAGATGCTGCATGCTACACCACAGCCTAATGAAAAAACATTTCTTTTAAATTCAAAACTATGTTTTTAATATCCAACCATGTCACTAACTGTGTATCTAGTTCAGTGCTTCAGTCTGCAGCATGTTATTCCATAGGATACATTCTTAGCATTTTATGTATCCAGCCCCCTAGTTATGGACACTAGGGGAATTTTATATATATAAATCATATATATATCTCATATCTATATATGTAGAAGTGATGTGTCACAGCACATATGTAAACCACACTTTACTAAGTACCGCCAGATGGCTTTCCAAGTGACTGTACCTGTTTATACTCCTACCACCAATACATACTGTGATATTATCCATCAAAGTTTTATTTGAATTGGCTTCTGATTTTCTTAAGTTTTTGTATGGCTGGACAATTACCTGGAAGTCTTAGCAAAAGAAAGGTGAGGGGAGTTGGGTGAGTTAGGGCTCCCCTGGTCCCCTCCCCGCACTGATTTACCTCTCCCATCCTCCTGTCCTCCCCCATGTCCCAGAACCTGCTGGAAGAAATTTTCTCTCTGAACCTTCTCCGTGAACAGCTTTTTCCCTTTTTCTCAGAGTTTTCACCACACATCAACAGAGTGTCCTCCTCGTTCCCTGCTCTCAGAATCCAAATTCTTCCTACTTTTGTGAGGTCCAATTTAAGACCTAGTTCCTCCATGAAGCCCTAATGATTCTAGCCTACATGTGTCTCTTCTCATTTTGACTGTATCTCTCTCATTTGGGGGATTTGTTTATGTTTAATGTAACTCTCTTTTATGTTCTATGTTGTTTCCAAAAGAGAGACCGGGCAAATTAAACGTGTCCTATCTGGTCAGCCCCATCATTAGTTTCTTCACTTCATTTGACTTATACTCTCCCAGCACCTGTGGGAAAATCAGATATTGCCAGCCCATCTCATCCACCTCCTCAAGTCAATCCTCCATAGGATTATAGAAAGATTTCACTAGCAGAAGAAACATAGAACAAGCCTTATATCTGCAAAGTATACATCCCGGGGACCTTGCAAAATTCCTCTCACTGGTTACCCATATCCGTATTGACTCAGAGTTTGTGCAGTTAAAAAGTGTGAGGTAAATCCCAGGTGTGTCTGTGGAACTCGCTGCTGAGCTTCGGCCTGGTACCCACGGTGCTGTCCTCACTGATCCTTCAACAATCACCTGCTCATTTCCTGAGCAAACACGGTTCTTAGCAGAAAATGATCTCTTTCTATCTCTTTCCCATAATCCACCCACCGAAATTAAATGAATTGGGAAAAATACCCTTTCCCACCTCTGATTCACTATACTGTTTTCCATTCTCAGTTTTACCAAAAAAAACTCCAGTTTTTATAACAAAAATTTCTAGTTACTAAGCCAAAATTGACTTTCTTCTTTCTTACAATCAGAATTTTGACGTTATTCAGGATGGCATGAATCTCCTGTAAAAGTACATTTCTCAATCTGTTTGGCAGCTGAAGGTTTATGTGACGGTTATTGCCATTAAAATGAAAGCCAAAGTTACTGCGTAAGACTTTCAGTGATGTTCCTCAAAGAGAAATAACTCAGGGGCACTCACCATTGCCCCTCGTCCTTTCTTATTCCTCTTAGACTGTGGTCATGATGCCTGGGGAAGAGGGTAGAGTAGGTGCCACTTGGGTGTCATGAAGATGGAGACAACATACGCTAAGGATGGCTTAAAGGAAAGATAAAAGGAAGCTGGGTCTCTGATGACGTCGTGGAGCTACCATACGCATCCTGGACTCTGTTCCTCTAGGTGCTTTGTAACGTAAGAAAAAAATAAAACTTCTAATATGTCCAACCACTGTTTTTTTTGGGTGTTATCTATTACACGCTGTCAAACGCAAATCCTGATTGTCATTTGTCTTTGACAAACCGCTTCTCTGGAAGAATCTTGCCCTGGTTCAAAGGCAGCTTGGTAGGAAAAAAATCTGGTGTTTTTGGAGAGCCCAAAGTTTCTCCAGGTCAGACCCCTAGTGTCCACATATCATGCTGTGTACTCTGCCTCTTTCTTCCATCTCATGAACCTTCTGTAGGTGATGTGGGATATCACCCAGTGGTTTAGATGTTTTCGGCAGACTCTTCCTTGCTGGTGGAGAATTCCTGCAAGGATAAAGCACTTCAGTTTCTTGCAGTGCGGGGGTGAGCATATGGCCTGCTTCTGTCCAAGGAGATCCAGAAGGGAAGGCAACTGGGAAGCTCCTCTCACAGAAAGGGACCCGTGAAAACGAATGTCCCTTCCTCTTCACTGGATATGTTGCTTAGAAATGCTGAGTCATCTTGTGATCAGTGACTCCGTGAGGGAGTGAAGACCTGGGTGAGAAACACTCAGGCCCTTGACCTATCTCCAGGTCACACCACCAATCCTGGACACGAACTGCCTTTGAACATCCGGTTAATTGTTTTTTCCACTTTCGGGTATATTCTGTTACTGGCACTTGAAAGAACTCTAAATGATACAGGGTTGTCAGAATAGGGCTGGCTGCCACCTTCACAATTTCTAGATCTGTTTCTTTGAATTAAGCTCCTCTGTTCCCTTGCCATGTAGTTCCCTGAGCCGCCTGTGTTGCTGGTCATCAGACAAGCCCAGACAGGCCTGAATCTGCAAGGAGTGTAGTTCAGGCTTTATGCTGGGACTCTGCTTTACAACCGCAATGTAATTCCTATTCTAATTCTTGACTTTTTTAGTATTGTAAATTTTAATACAATCACCACTGTGTGGTATGTTATTTTTTAAAATAGTAAAACAATTTGGATGCTTGATAAAAAGTCTTTACAAGGGAAACAGGATTGTGATAAAATATCAGAATTATATTTAAAAAAAATCCACAAACAGGAATTGAAATATGTGGAGTCAAACTTTTATTACCTAATTGAAATGTTTGAAAATATTTTGCAGGTTTTTAGGAACAATTAATAGCCTTCAAACAAGATACCAAAGATAAATATTTTATTTGCTACAAATAAGTATTGTCTTATTTCCGTGGGTACATCCTAATATATCTCCAGATGAGATATTTGCTGCTAGTTAACCCGGTGGTATTAATTTATGCTTTAAATCAAGTAGGGACTGCAAGGTAGATAGGCTGAATATTTAACATTTCCGTTCGAATCGTCAAGGTACATATAAATCTTAAATCGTTCTTCAGTCTCTTTTCCCACAGTGGCAGGAGTGCTGTCTAGATGGTCAGTTCTAAACCGAGTCAGTCCAGCTCTGTCTACCTGCACAGAACACTTGAGTGAAACATGAAAATTTCAGTCAGTCATCTGACTAGTTTCAGACTCACAGGCAAAGCATTGGAATGATTAAACTTCTCACTTTCCACAGATATTTGGGCAAGTTAGTGAAACAGTCTTTGTTTTTTTCCTGAAGAAGATACCACATGACCAAGAGGAAAGCTCTGACCTGTTATAATTAAGGAAAATAATCCTGTATCTCTGTGTATTACAACCACACATTGTTACCAAGAATGTTCAGCTTCCTGAATGTTGAAGTGGTATTCTGAGAGGAAAGACTGCTAGATAGAGATTTGGGAATTATCTTTTAGACGAGATTAAATTAGTAAGGAAATAGTGGGTTAGCCTAGGATTCTGGGTCAGTCAGAAACCAACCCTGGTCTAAATAAAAATTAGATAAGTTCTTTGTGTAGCTATTACTAGAGGGCTTTGACCCCCCATTCAGACAACCCTTTGATTTTTATTCTACTGGCAAGAACCCCAGGGAGGGAGTGGGCGACTGGTGTCTCTAACCTAAACCCCAATAACCCTAAACTGCCAATATTAAGCTAGTTCAAGAGGTACAGGAGAAAGGAGAGCTTTTGAGACTTGAGTGTGGTGTGCCTTCCTTGGCAATACTCAGACCATGGGAGAGCATGTGACCGAAGCACTGTAGCCATGGAACCAGAGCAGAAAGTACTCTGAAGAGTCCAATCATCTTCATTTTCACAAATGAGAAAACACATCCAGGCAGATTCTGGATGAAATCTCAGATCTCTTGATTCATTTACTTCCATGTTCTTCCAGTCCATCACTGGACCAAAAGACTATTAAGAGAGTAATGAAGGAAAAAAAAAAGGAGATGCTCCAGCTTTGGATATCAATGATGTATATGAATTTACTCCGAAGAACACTGGGCAATAGAAAGGAATTTGCTATGGGTCTCAAAATCTACGAAAAGACTTCACCAAAAACGCCAAAATAGTGCCCCCAAATAACAGTCTCACTTGGGTGTGAAAAACTAGTACAAATGTCATGATCACTGTAATAAAGTTGTTCACACCTCTCCGCCTTCAGGGTCTGGCCAATAGTGTATAAAAACAAAGGACTGGGCTACACGGGAGTTGAAGCATAACATTATTAGGACTTTGGTGACGGCTAGATTGGAAACGGTGGGGCTGGGTGTAGAGGGAGGGGCAGTGGGGAGTCAGCTTGCTTGATGGAAGCAGGTCTGAGAGAGACAGAGAGATAAAGACAGAGAGACAGAGACACAGGTGGGAGCAAGCAAGTATTTATTGCCCAAATTTCAAAGCAGGGACGGTTGGTGAAAATGGATGTCATACTCTCTCTAACCCCACCAAGGTAAGGCACCCTCCTTCTATTTATTATGGGTATTATTACCTATTATTATTTTTTTAGAAATCTTTTTATTATTTTAGTAGGTACGGAAAATTGCCCTTCCCTTGTTTTTGTTTTGTTTATTTTTCAAAATTTACCTAGTTACTTTTAAGATTATTCTTTCCATGACCTTTAGAATTTTCAGAAAAATCCTCCAAATCCTGGAAATAAGACAAAGGTGAGCAGCACATCTTTTTAACAGCATATCACTTTAGGGCTGTAGAAAAATGTACTTAGTTCATTGTTTACTGTTGATTAAGGCCCCAGACTTAGTGAAATTACTTGCTAAATTCTAGATTTTTGTCTGGTGGAGATGCAAATAATTTCTGTCTTGTGAAACAGATCATCTCTAAGATTTACAGCCTGTTGGGAACTAATCAGTTTAAAAAAAAAATCAGACTTGGCAACCTTGGGACTTCCCTGGTGGCACAGTGGATAAGACTCCGCGCTCCCAATGCAGGGGGCCCGAACCAGCGTTGGATCCCTGGTCAGGGAACTAGATCCCACATGCATGCTACAACTAAGGAGCCTGCCTGCCACAACTAAGACCTGGTGCAACCAAATAAATAAACATATTTTTAAAAATCTCATTAAAAAAAAACAAAAAACTTGGCAACCTTATCCTAACATTTCTTTGTTAAATTGATTATATATACTGAATTTTTCAAATACTCTCTGAATCAATCATAACATCTTACTCATTAATGATCTTTGACGTGTTCATTTTGTATTTGCTGGATGATTATGCTGTTACCTTTTTGAAAATTATCCTTTAACAGAATATTTTTTCCTAGTATCCCTCCAAAAATATCTTGTTGAGCTTTTGAATGGAATTCATTTCATTTATAGATTCTTTTGGGGAGAATTGACATCCTTACGGTACTGAGATTTACTATCCAAGAACTAGCCTTTTTTTTACTTTGCTTAGTTTTCTTCATTTAGGTACTACACATTTTTTGTTCAGTTTATTCTTGGGTAATTTATGTTTTTGTTGTTAATGGGAGTTGTTTCCATTTTTATTTTCTAACTGGTTAATTTTTGGAATGAA